AGTGAATTCTGTCCTCTCTGCTCCAGTAACTTTACCTCAGCTCCAGCTTCTCCCCAAAATGGCAGTATTCTCCCCCCACCATCCTCCTCCAAAAACAATGGTCCACTACTGTGGGAATGATGGAGGCATATAAGCCAAGTCCATCAAAAGACTGCAAAGGCAGGTAATTTTTGAAGAGAACAATTACTGTATAATGCATGGTTAAGTCAGCATGAAATCACAAACCGTGTTTTCAGTTCAACAAAAAAAACAACTCTATTAAAAACTTCAAAAATTTACCATATTTTTCCTTCTCAGTGAAGCTATATTGTACAGACTTAATCTGGTAAGTATTTTCACTTCATCATGAATTCATCATACTTCAAAAGTTTCCTGGCTGAAAGCTAGGTTAAACTTCTACTGTCACTTCCCTAAAACCAACTTGAAACAGTTCCTTAACAAAGCTGAGTTCTATACCTACTCTGTTTTCATTTGTAATCACAATCAGAAAGTCAAAGGCACATCTGATTTCTCAATCATGTTGCATGTAGTGCAAAGTTTAGTACAATTCATGCTGCTAAAATGCTAACTAACCTCTATACTAAAATCAGCAACATGACCTGGTCAGATTTTCAGGGATTTGCAGTTCACACAGTGTCACCAATTTAATAGCTGTAATAAAGCATCTGATCAGATATGTTACAAAGAATGAAGATGATAAAAAGAGAAATAAATTGCTTCAAGGAATCAACACTGAAAATATCTTAAATATCTTGCTTTGTTCTTCTGGCAACTTGCCATGTGCAGGATTTTACTTAACTTCACTTCTCTCCACCAAGAGAGAGAAGAGGTATTGGTGACCTTGTATTTCACTTCTGAAAGTATATTTATGTTTAAGGAATTTCTTTATGCATATACAAAAATGACTCACAAGATAAGATACTCTGAGCATCACCTTGATCACATCTTTATGGACATGCAGGCTTCTTTCCCAGGCCTTCAGAGACGTTTTCAGTAATATTTCACTTCTCTGAATCAACGGATAGTCAAATTCATGCCATTAAACCCCTTGCCACCTTACTTTATGTGAAAAAACTTCTAAACTCTATGTGAATTCAGAATGCAACTTCCACCATACTATAAATTTTACATATAATTTTAATATATTTTAATATATATAAATATAAATACATATGTAAGTATATATAACAGATATAGATATATATATATAAAAGAATAAGAAGGATGCAAGAACAAATATGGAGTCTGCGGGAAAGGTGGCTGATATTTTGTTTTTAGCAGAAATATACAATTAAAAGTAATGACTGAAAAATGAGATAACCTAAACTTTAATACAACTAGCAGTTAAATATTTTGAATTTAAGGCAGAATTGATAAATGCTAAGAACAGAAAAATAGCCTTTGTGTTTCAAAATATGGGGTGCAGCAAGTCTACCATCGCATCTGATGCCATATAGTGCCTTATCTGGAGATACGGCTATTGCAGATAGCCCATTGGGAAAACAAGGGTATTGTGTTCAACAGAACTAAATAACAGTGCACTCAGGCACCATGATCAATGGTTAAATTGTTTATTTCAAAGCCATTTTCTCCTTTCTTTTGTATAACACTGTAACATAAAAAGAACTTTGAAACCAGCTCGAAGACCAAAGGTTCAAAAAGCTGCTAATGCCTTTTAATAAGACAGCCTGAACCTGTGATAATCTGACAGCATGCTGTCAATCTCCTTCTAGATGAGCACCTAGGTGATTAGTAATTAAGATATTAACCATGAGTTCTCTATTTTTACTGTAAGTGAGGATCTACTGTTCAACACTCTTGCATTCAAGAATGTGTATTTAAGTCCCAAAAGCAGACAAAGCCAGAGGGAAGTAGCTCATTTGATACCACAGTCAGACCACATGTGCAGCTACTCAAGTAATGGACTTCATTTTTACCAAGTACAAATTCAACCTCGTTATGTGGCAGAGACAGAATGGAGGTATTGATCTCAGAACGTGATTATAGCCAAAATTAGTTATCCATTTCATTAAGCAAAATTAACAATAATAATTTGGTGCCAATTTATTGAAATATCATTTTAAATGTTTGGCTATGTTGACAGGTTAAACAAAAATAGATTTTGTTTCTAAATTTAAAGGGTTTATAATAACATAGTATCAAGGAAGTATTTAAAATATGAACAACATAGGCAAAAGAAGTTATAAAGGAAGGTGTGACAGGTGGTATTTCAGAAGCACACCCACTCACCATGTTATCTTTCACTATCTCTGGTTCACAAGCTCCAGTTTCCCCTGAAGCAAGTTGTGTAAATACCAGAGATACTGGATATTTGTACTGCTTCCCTTTCAAACACTTTGCCTTGTTTGGCTTTGCAAAGTGCAACTATGGTGCTGTTTCACTAGCTAGCACAAAGCATATGCACTAACATAATCGATAGCAATAGCCTTTAAGTTTATCAATATGATGTTCTAACTTAGGGTGCCTAAGAACACTCCACACACTACTGTACAACTTGTCCTTGGTAAGCCTTTCAAAGGCTGGAACAAGGACTTTACCTGCCAGCAATTATGTGACTTGAACAAGGATGTGTGGGAGGAATCTCATTCCTATTACACTGCAGCACAGAACAGTACAGTGTGAACTTGAGAACATTCTTCTTCTTTAAAGTTGTCTCCAGTCACTGCCAAGCATTTCTAGGCTTTACTGAACCTTCTTTCCAGCTAGAAGAGGGCTGGTAAGAGTGCTTCAGGACTTCCTAATTACTGCTTTTTACTTAGGTATAAGTGAAGCACTGTCTCCATTGATGCTATTTTATGAACAGATAGCTCTGTAACACATTTTGTGTTTACGCATATTGAAAGACATGTGACTTAATTCACACAGCTGCACTGTTCTCCAAAATAGGATGTCTGTCTGCATACTCGGCTCCTTCTCTGCTCCAATTGCAAGCTGCCTGCTAACCCTGCTGCAGGATGAGAAAACCCCATCACAACCAATTACCTTCTGCTTGCTGGAAAAGCTGGAGAAATCAGCTGCATTCAGGAAGATGAAACACCGCAAGGCATCAAGTGCAGCACAACAGCACCAAAACAAAACACACTGAATCCTGAGGCATGGTTGAAAGTAACAAATTACTCATCCCACAAAGTACCTGACAACTCACCCTTTGAATACTATTGCTGTAAGATACATGACTGCTGTGCTACGTCAGCTTAAAGTGTTAACTTAATATTGCAATACTTTTTAATATCACTATACTTTTGGACATGGTATTGGAAGATGCTTAAATGATATATACTGCTATGATAAGGATCGTGACCCTATTAATGATGACATTGGTGTTTTAACCTGGTTCCCAAACCCTAATGAACTATAGCAGGAGAAGTTCCATATAACAGTAATACAACTAAAACAAGCAGCAGATGAGACTATACTTTATTATGAGTTAAATTTCAAAATAAATTATGCTGTTCACCATGAGAGCAAAAGCAGGACTTTTACAAACTAGACTTCTGAAAATCTAAATGCCCTTGGGCATTTTCAAATCAACACACTGTTGTATGAGAAACTTGCCAGACTCCCATGAATGACCACGGAAAACTAGTTTCAAGTAAAAAGAAATTAAATTTTGTTTTTCTGCCAGCAATCAAACATTTTACAGTAATCATTCCAGCCTCAAGCTCCAAAGAATTTTCAGGAAAGACAGCATTGTTTCAATCAAAATTGATTCTAACCTGCAACACCACCACCGATTTGCAGAAATGCAATGCAAAATGGCTTCATCCCCATTCTATTCCACAATGTTTCTCTTTTCACTTTTCCTCACACTCCAACCCTCTCCTCCAATCCAGGAGCATTTGTGCAGTCTCTCTATCTACATACACGTGTGTCATTCAGAGGTAAGAGTATGAGGAAAGTGAATGATCTCTACATGACTGATCTTTCCACTCAAATTATTTCTGTCTCTTTCTCTCCTCTTTTTATCATCCAGCAGAAATAGCTCCCCATTGTCATGGTTTAAGCCCAGCCACTGGTGTGTTATCAGCGTTGTTCTCAGGCTAAAGACAAAACGCAGCAATGCATCAGCTACTAGGAAGAATTAAAATAACTGTTACAGCTGAAACCAGGACACCCACAAGAGTCTAAGGACCTTCAGTCTGGCAGTGTACGTGTCAAATACCAACACAAATCATATCTATCACCCAATCAATATGCAAGAGCAAGCATGAAGGACAAGGAAAAAAAAAGATAAACATATAAACTTCATCCTCAGAAGCCTGAAATACATATAAATACATTAAATCTGTGGGTTTTGAATGGTATTCAGGTTTTAACTACTGTTAAAATGTTGAAACAAAACAGACTGAGATGCAAATCTATGGAGAAAGTGTATGGGAGATGTAATGACACAGCTGAAAATAGCACAAGGCATTATTAGATAAATCCTACCTAATTCACTTCTTTGGCAAGGCTGGACGAATTGAAGGAGGAAGGTTTGACATCTATTTTCATTTTGTATGAACAACAAGGATCTTTATACTCAAACAACCTTTCTGGCTCACATAAACTTGTCTCTCTTTCATTCTAATGTAGGTACACAAGAAAACAGTTTCCCAGTGATATTTTTTTTATTCCCTTTAGCAACTAAATAAAGGCTGAGCTCCTACAGAGCAGATGGGAGACTACCTACATGAGAAAATGGCTCATAATTACAAGCATTATAAGTTCCATGGAAACAATACAAAATTGTCATTATTATTTCACCACAAATACAGAATTAAAAAGTAAAAAGTTCACAGAAAATGAAATAATGCAGTATACATAACAGAGTACTGAACTTTCTGGACTCATTCCAAAATTAACATTTTCAAACAAAGCGTAAGGCTAATGCAAAACTCGTATGACAAAAAGTAAGACTTTTTCATATATATCAGCCTTTTCACATGAGCATAATATTTAGTCTGTACTTAACAAACCACAAAGATATGAATACCTACCCTGCATTATTACTGACTGCTGTTATTCCCTTCACACCAGTCTTCAGTAAACCCCCAATGAGGTTTTCAGGAATCCCACACAATCCAAAACCTATGTAAGTTAAAGAAAATTGAAAATGTAACAAGTGTTTGAAAGAACACAGATTAATCAGAAGTCTAAGAATGTGCACTGCTTTATTAAAAAACTTTTTTGAGCAGAACAAGCTCCTTCTAGTTGACGTCAATAACACTTCCGGAAAGATTTGCACCCTAGTACTGGAATCTTCCAGTCTCTAGATGGTTCTCAGTTTGGAGGAAAGCCATTTAACCATCTCCACCCACACACAAATGGCCTTTGAAGAAGGGCTCCAGGATCCTATTGGTGGTACTCATTATTCCTTTTTCCCTTTCTACTTAATCTTCAATGGTTTGCTGCACATAACAGCATCAAACAGGAGGACCAAGTTGCTCTTCCACACAGCCTAGCCTATAATTAGGTGATAAAAATCTCGGAAACTTAATGCTCTCAGGAAGACGTGTAACTGGAAGTACAGTAACCCAGATCTCCACCCAGGCTAAAATACCTACTATGCAAGAGCTCAGTATGCCTAAAATGAAACACCACGCCACATCTGAGGCGCTTAAGTCTTAGACCAGGCCCTAACACTACAACTACTACCATTTTCCTCCCAACTACTTAGCTCCAGACCTTCTTTTGCTCCAAAAACAACAAAAAAATACAATAATTCTTCCTAGAAGGAATTTTACTTCATTACACATCTCCAGTGAGGTTTCTCATGTTTCACAACATTCTATTAGTTACTTATTCAATAGTGAAAATCACTTACAACTTACTACATAGAGAGATTGCTTTTCTCTCAGTAGACCAAATAGCATGAAATTGTGGAAATCATATAGAATATTCAAAAGCTGTGAAAGTCAGTATGACGCAACTTCCTTATTCCTGTGGAAATGCTACACATAACTATTTCGTGTAATGTTGATAAGTATTATCTTCACTTCCTACAGCCGTAAACAGGTTAGGTGATTTGTTCAAGGTCACAGAGATCAAGTCACTTGGCAGATATAGAATACAGAAAATGCTACCACAAGAAAACGAAAAAAAAAAAATTAAATTTTACTTCCTCACCATCTGAAATAACAATGCTAACTTAAAAAATCCTAAATTGATTTTCTGCATTCAAATTGCATGAGTGAAGTCTAAGCACTTCACCAGTGGGGAAAAAAAAATAATGATTTTTCTAGGACTTTTTCTGTCCCCTAAGGCACAAAGTGGGATTTTCTCACTGAAAGAGTGTCCCCCTTTTATACCCACACAAGCATATGTATTCTCAAATTAGTTAATATTAAAACAAACATGGTAAACCAGTAAAAAGTATCTCATTAATAGAATGTAGCTGCATCCAGAAATAATTTAAATATTTACCACCAACAAGTATAGTTGCTCCGTTGGGTATATCTTTTACAGCTTCAACAGGATCAGTATAAAATTTGGTGTTGTGATGACAGCTAGTGGAAAAACAGTATCCAAAACTCTGGAACAATATTAAAATAAACAATTGAATTAATAAAAAGCATTACATAGTAGCTTTATAATGATGACAAATCTCTCTGGATAGGTAAGTGGGAAAACATTGAATAAATATTGCTACTATAAACAGTAAACACTGGGGGGGAGGGGAAGAGAAGGGTTCAGGTCTTCAAAACAAGGACTATTGTCTCTTCCCTGCACCCACATTTTACAGCGTTCACATGCATAATGAAGGCTTTAGGCTTAATATGAATCGATTTGACAATATCCAAACTGATTTTATATTTCTGAATTCCATTCTAAACTGCTGACAGATTGTGCTTACTGTGAACAGATCCACAAATGCAACTCCTCAGCACAAGTCAGAGCAACACAAAGGCTGCTTTAAACAATATATTGTTACTTGCAGCTTCAAAGATATCCAGACACTAGGCATAACCAGAAATAGCTGAAGAAGAGCCAACACCACCACAAAATTTGAGTGGAGGCCAAGGAACAATATGAAGTACATCACTGTGCTGGCAGCAAAGTAAGAAAAGACCCCTTTCAACAAGGCAAACCTTTCTCCAGCTTCCTAACACAGTCTTACAGGTCTTCAACAATTTAAGTTGAAGGATCAGAAGACTTCAACAAACTGATGAAATGGGGAGGGCAAAAGGGAAACCAATAACAGATCTCACTCCCAAAACTAGACTTCACAGTGCAAGGCCATTGCACAGTTACCATCATAACTCATCTATTATATTCTTAGGTCACGGTAACCTATTTTTTTGTTGTTTATTTTTCTGTAAAATGGGAAAGAGGGAGAAGAATGAGTAAATATATAACGAAGCTAACCTATACACTGTTTAAAAACAATAGCCTAATTCTTCCCTAAAGAGTTGCCTGAAGATCCGGTTACAACAGGAGCAGTAATTTTTGGCTCAGTTTCAAGATGACACAAACTGCCTTCTTTTATAAAATTAAGGCTGCAAGAGTTTATATTGAATATTAACAAAATCTTTCTGAATGGAGGCTCATCTGCTTCCCAAAGGAAACACTGATGTTTCTTTGTTCTGGTGGGCTCAAAAACAAAATCAGTACATGGGTCATACAGAACAGTGCCAAGTGAGAAAAAGACCCTTCTCCATGCTCAACTATACCATGTTTCTCTCAGAAATATTTTTTTCAGGAGGACAGTAAGACTGCAAAGCATGTCTCTTCTGGTCACATTCAGCAGGCAAGGGACAAAATGAGTTATTATGGCTGGCAGCCTCAGGAGACTTGGTACAAACAGGTCTGTTAAGCAGACATGAGGACTAGGGCTCAAGGTGGCCAGACCACTGTTGTGTCACTGTACCCACACATCAGAAAATATTTTTAAAAAGACCATGTGGTACCTTTTCCTTAATCTTCCCAACTGCCTGCCGCAGAGGGGAACAACAGAGCAGCATGTGTTATATATGCATGTGCTCCAGGATGGAGGTCTCTAACGAGGGTACATGCCCTTCTACACTAAACAGGTTCGTTCCAGTCCCCTTCCCACCCACTCTGCTGTTTGAGAGCAATGGGATCTTAAGGAAGCAAGATGCCTGGGATCAACCATGCTCCCCTGCACACAGAGGCAGCAAGCTAAGACCTCAGGAGCTGTCTTCAATTCTGACACATCAGATTTAAAACAGAAGCAACACGGGGACAGACAAGCTTCTAGAACAACCAACAAAAATCTAAATAAACTTTACAGAAGAGCAAAATACAACTTAGCAAAACAATGACTGAAAGAGCAATCATTATTTGCCCATAAAGACATCAGGAAGAGTAAATATGGGTATGAGAAGAACAGATGAGCTGCTTCAATTAAAATAAAATAAGAAAAGCCACAGGAACAATTTTGGCTGAGGAAACTAAAAATTAACATGGCTACGGTTGCATGTGGGCTGGAAACCATTATAACAGTGAGGTCAGGTAGAAGCTTCCCCCAGGAAGAGGAAATCGAGCAAAGGAGCAAGCTGCATGGCTGAACTCCACGCTGTATGAATGGCAGTGCATGGAGGGCTGCAGGGAGCTGTGTTCCTGACCTGGGCTCTTCCTCCCGACACCTGCCCCTACCTCAAGGAAACACCAACGTGGTGAGAAGACAAGACTGGAATATGCAGCAACACACTGCAGTGGTGCAGCGATTTCAAATGCGGGGTAAGTAAACAAACTAAACCTTAAAGCCAAACCTCCAGGCTGGTCCCCAAGGTCACCGCATCCCAACGCGCCGCGGGGGCCGGGCTTATCCTGGAGACGCGCTCTACCCTTCTCCTCGCCGCCCAGCCCCCGCGGGCCAAAACCGGCACCAAAACCAGTTGTTTTTATAGAGAAACCCAGGCTCATGGGTCGGTTTTGTCTATGAACAGGTTCCCCTCGGGCTCTAGGCGCCCGCCCAGGCAGGGTTCCGCTGAGGGGGAGCAAGAAGCCGAGTGCCGACCCGTGGCCTGTGTCCGCGGGCTCGCCTTTACCTCAACCGCGGCGCCTCGCGCCCGGGCGGAGGGAAGAAGGATGCGGCGGCTGAGTGGCGGCAGGAGGAATTTGTACGCCGCCATCTTCGCGCTGCTGGGATCTCGGCGAAGGGGAGCGGATGGGGGGGGGGGGAGGGTTGGCAGGCAGCGGGGCAGGGCCGAGGTGGTAGCTGCTGCTGTCCAACGCCGGGAGCGGGGAGCGGCAGCGGGCGGGATGGCGGAGCCTGAGGGCGGAGGAAAAGAGGGAGGTTGAGGGGCTCGGCCCTGACGTCGGCTGCGACCGAGGCGGGGCCGATGGAGGGACGGGGGGGCCGCCGTCGGAGGTGGGGCGGCGGCCGCCGTCGGAGGTGGGGCGGCAGCCGCCGGGGCCCGAGCTGCCGCTTCTCCTCCTGCGGCGGGCCCCCCACCCCCGCCAAGCCAAGACGGGGACGCGAGAGCTGCGCAGCCCACGGATACCACCAGTTTTGCTCTATAAGCCCCTCAGAGACACGGAAAAGGCATGTGGAAAAATCGTCAGTGCTACAGTGCCTTCAGTTTTAAAGGACGGGAATCTCCCCCTCCATCACTTCCACAGACACCTCCTATGTGCCATTGCAGATGTCTCCCTTTGAAGTCAAGGTGGTTTAAATTTCTGCCCTACCACCTTCACAGAATCATTAGGGTTGGAAGGGACCCCTGGAGATCCTCTAGTCCACCCCCCTGCCAAAGCAGGGCCACCTTGAGCAAGTTGCACAGGATCATGTCCAGGCAGGTTTTGAATGGCTCCAGAGAGGGAGGCTCCAGAACGCCCCTGGGGCAACCTGTTCCAGTGCTCTGCCACCCTCAACGTAAAACTCTTCCTCATGTTGAGGTGAAACTTCTTGTGTTTTAGTTTATGGCCATTGCTCCTTGTCCTGTTGCCAGATGTTTATTTATGTCAAGGTTTATTTATCATGAGATCCCCTCTCAGTCTCCTCTTCTCTAAACAGGCCCAGCTCCCACAAGCTCTCCTCATAGGAGAGATGCTCCAGACCCCTGATCATCCTTGAGGCACTTCACAGGAGTCTTTCCAGTAGCTTCTTGTCTTTCTTGTACTGAGAAGCCCAGAATTGGACACAGTACTCCAGATGTGGCCTCACCAGGGTCAAGTAGAGAGGTAGGATCACCTCCATTGACCTCATGGCCACGCTCCTCCTGATGCACCCCAGGATACTATTTGCCCTCCTGGCCGAAAGAGCACACTGCTGGCTCATAGTCCTTTAAGGACTAACATCACAAGAAACAATGGAACGACAGAGGCTTTTAATGGTTAAGTTTCCACTGTACAGCCCTTAGGGGTGAGCCAGGCTCCAGTAAGCACGTGGTTTCCACAGGGCACTTGGATGCTATGTTTGGGTGGGAAAATGTTACTAGAATAGATATATACTCATTTAAGCAGCCACATGATGTGAACTGCTGGTATTTCTGCTTCTGCTAGAAGAAAAATTCAAAGCATGCCTCTGCCATTATTTACACTGTCTAAAAATAACCTAAACGATTAGCGCATGCCATAATGATGCTTGATGGAACAGAAGGATTCACAGAAAATTGTGAGCATTTGTTCAGATGAGGGAAAAGACCAATTCCCCTCACACACATGATGAAAGGTCACACTTCTTGCAGGTCACACTACTTCTCCTTTGTTTCCAGCTTGTCTCCAGCACAGCTGCTGTGCTTAGCCATTGAGATATGAACATGCAGCAGGATAGTTTCCAATGAGGAAACCAACATTTTAAAAGAGTGCTGCCAGTTTCCAAAGTGTTAGTGCACACCCAGCCCATTGTATTCAGAGCACTGGTCAAGCCTTGCAGCCTGTCTGTGGCCCAACTTGTCTGTGGCCCTGCCATACGCATTTTAAAAGGTGGCAGTACCAGTTGTTACAGTCCATGTTACAAACCTTGCAGATGCCCATAAAGCGCAGTGGAGACATCTTTCCTGCCAGGAAAATTTAGGGTTAGCTTTTTCTTAAATATTCACTGTATCTAACTAGTCAGTTAAGTCTGAGCAGTTCCAGGTGTAAAAAGCTACAAATTACACAGGCTTAAAGAACTGAAAAACAAAGTTAACTGTACAGCTTGCATTCTTCCATGGCTAAGCATCAGCATAAACGTTTTAGAGGGTGGATTGCTGAGCTTCAGTTCTGCCGAAATGTCATATAAACATGTATATTCCTTAAGTCAGGTTTCCTTTCTTGAAAAAAATTTCATAAGCATTGGAAAACCTGTGTAAAACAAGTTTATTCTCTTCCTTGAAAAAAATTTCATAAGCATTAAAAAACTTGTGTAAAACAAGTTTATTCTCTTCAGTTCAATAAATATCTTCCTTTAAATCAACAGTGTGCATTCTCAAACCTACCAAAGCATTCACTCCTGAGTACTTGTTACATCCCCTGAAAGCATTTATTTTGCATGGGGTTTGGCCTATTTGTGACTGCAACAACATCCCTCCTTGCAGGCTGAAGGAAGGGGGCTAACTGCATGCAGTTGGTATAGTGCATGAGTATTTGTACTTCCTTGGAACAACTATTTGCAAAGCTGGTAATTCTACTTACATAAATTACAAGTTTTGAACTAGATAATTGGGGGAATATACCTTCTCCTTTGCAGGTGCTATGGATTACCTAAAATCAAAATTATTAAAAAAAAAAAAAATTGTGCAAAGCCCATGTGCTTCAGACTGCAAACCCTCTTATTTTGGGTTAGAAAAGCTTCAAACATACCTGAATGAGTAGATAAAAGAATTTGTTCTGGAGTAGTTTATAAAGCATAGTAGATCATCTACTTTGTCTTAAGATGTCTTAAAGCTCTTCACACAAGGACTACAACTAAGCAGCCAACATGAAACAAGCCTCTGAAATTATCAAGAATACTTTTAATATGATCTTAGTTTATTCATTGAAGTAAATCACATGACAATGGTAGCATGCAAGTCAAACACTTTGCAAGGTCAACAGCATTTACAAATGAGTAGTGGGAGAGTTTTGAGCCGTTGATTCCAAAAACATGTCAGCAGGGAGGCATTCTGGAGCTCCCACAGGTTAATCATTATATATACACCATATAACACCAGCTTACTTATACTACTACCAAGCATAATAAAATGTCAAAGTCAGCACTCCAATACAGTGAAATAATATTTCCCAAACAAGCCACCAGAGAGTCAGCAGATAGGCAGGCTATTTTTGTATGTTTGATTTACTTGTAAAGGGGGGAGAACCAGAACTCTGAGACTAACAACTTTGTTTCTAGACAAATTTCTTAAAATTTGGTTATCCTCAACCCTGATTCTAGCTAACTGAAATTTAGCAATTTACCTTTCTTTCTGATCCATTGCAATCTGGCAAAGAAATTCACTTATTGAGGCAAGAAAATCACATATGGAGTCACATAGAAGGGAAAATTCTTTAAACTATGAAGAACACACAGAAAACACCTAAACTGACATCCAGTGTCTTAATAGATCTCAGTCCTGAAACAAGGGTGTTTAAGTATTTCTGAGTATTACTCAAAGTACTGAAGTATTTTTTATATTAATTATTGAAAAGCACTTGAAACCCATCTTTGGATAAAGTGGAATGAACCTGATTCCCTTGTTACAGGATGAAAGTTAAAAAAACAAAAAACCAAAAAAAACATTTAACAGCTTCCTCATCTTCCTGCAAGGATGGAGTACTACAGGGAAAACAAATAAAGAAAGAATATAAAACTTTTGATATAGACCTAAAAGCTTTATATAGTTATAAATACATTCTGTCTGAGAACATAAAAATAATTATGGGCTCCTGTGTGATATATTAAATTATTTTAAGACCAACTCAGAGAGCTTATGGGAGATATATTTAACTAGGGAAAACAAAAGGGCTGCCACCCGCATCACCAATGATTTCACAAGTAAGCCACATGAACTTAAATACTCAACTTATTAACAAGGTTCCAGTGAAAGGAAGGTCATTACAAAGAAAAATGGATACTTACAGGTCTAGTGAAAAGTATACATGTTAAAAATCAGCAGGGACTTGGCAAACAAAAATTCATACATAATATAAACACCAAGGGCAAAATTAAATTGGGAAATACTCAAAAGCCATCTTCTAGACAGTTATGGAAATGTAAAGCAAATGAGAGAACCACAGAACCAAGATTTTTGAAGGAAATTACATGCAAGGTATGGAGGAATCCCTTTGCTGACTAACTCTGGCAACATTTTCTCTTCCTAGTCCTAAACTTAAGATAAAAGGCAATACCAAACTATGAAAGGATCCTAGAGCTATGTAATAAGAAGAATTAATAACCTTCTTTTTGGCAAAAGAAGTTCTTTATCCCTGGAGGAACTCTGAGCAAACAATAGAAGGTCAACAATTATTTTTGTTACAGTATCATAGTGGAAGACAGCTCACCTAATTAAGAAAATTTCAAAAACTTAATTGGATAAGGAGCCGGACATTGTGAAAAATAATCTGGCATGATTTTTTTCGTAATAATCCAGTTACCATTAGAGCAGTCTTATATGTCAGGCAGGATGCCCTGCTTTCATATAAACAATACAGAAGTTTCTAGATCATGTCAGTTTATCTTGTCATTATTACAAGCAAAGATAAGCAACTGTGAAGAACTTAAAAGCCACTGAACATTTTATACGTGGTCAAGATGAGAGAATTAAAGTTACCGCAGCAAGTTACTTTGACAGCACTAATAGCAACTGAAATATCAGCAGTTAAAAGTTAAGTAGTTACAACAATTCTGTAGTCTTAAAAATACAAAACTTTGGACTTTCTGCCCACTGCAAATGCTGCATCTCAATTCAAAACCACAATATTTACAAGGTGTAATTATGCAGTATTTAAAATTAAGGTGCAATTTTTGTTTAAATAGAGTCACAAAGTCTGTTACTGAGCATGATCCTTGGCACTCCTATTTATGTTAATATATTGCTTAGTTAGTAACTGTCACCAACACTGTCTACATTAGTTAAGTGTAATAACCTTCAACAGTGATAGTCAGTATGTCTACTAGTTCTGAAGAAGGGGTAAGTGACTTATCACTCCTTTACAGCAGGAGTGAGATAAAAACAAAATGCCTATTCAGCGGATACTTACAGCCAGCAGCTGCACAAGTTCCATATGTTTGTG